AAGTCTGCCTTCAGCTTGTCAAGTAATGAAGCGTAGTATGCTCCTGTAATGGTTTTTCCTTTTTAAAGATATTCGATTAACCCTTAACCACCTACCCTATGTTTTAACGACATAACAACCTACCCTCGATCAGACAGACCGCTATCATGTGATTGATATTTTTTAAAGTTGTAATTTGGTGGTGGATAAAACATAAGAATTAAATAGAGGTATAGTGTTTTTACTATTATATTATCATTAAAATCTACAAGTAACTAGTAACAGTCTTGCGAAAATATAATAACTTTACTTGTACATGGAATTAATGGACGAATATACTTATCTATACAAAATGTAATCTATAAAAAAAATAACTAATTAAACTTTCTTCTTTGGACTAATTCTCGTAATTTTATCAATCATGTAATACAATCAAAGCTTAAAAATAAATAGAAATATATATTATTTTTGCATAATTACAGCCTCTCAATTCTTAATATTTTTCCGAGCATATACGGCACACTGTTTCAGAGCATTCTAAGCAGATTGGCTTCTTGCATGAAAAGCACGAGTATTTAGTCTTGCGTTTCTTTTTATAATCGCAAGTCGAGCAAGTCTTACGTACTTCTAGCCTACTTGCACCAGAACAGCTTGGTATTACATCTTCCACATCAGTCTGAAGTACACGGCGAATCATTATCGGTACTTCTCGTGGAATAGCTTCATTTTTTTCTCGTCGTTCCATGTGTGGCCGTGTTAGCTGTTCCGCCAATCTCTTAATGAATTTGAATCGGCTTCCAGTACCCTGAGTCTGATTACTTAAACTAATAACATAAGCATTGGGAATTGATATGTCTTGTATTCTGTAGAATATAGCCATAGGCCACCATCGTGTTCGACGAGCAGTGGAGTAATTCGAACACCTTTGGTCAAGTAGTTCGACTCCAATTTTGGTTTCATTATAGTACATTATGATCTCCGGTTTTCTGGTGTTTTCATCAATGGTATCTGTGTGGTGCATGCTTGATATCATAAGAACAGCCTTATTTTTTTTTTTACACATAAGATGACAAAGTTATATCTTTGGTGAAACCAAAAATTGTTGATCCCAGTGGCCGACTTCTTCTTGGCTTGAATTCTGGGGGTATTTCGCGTTTTCTTTTTTTTTTCAAAGTAACCACCAGTGTTAGTCGTTTTTCTCTCAAAGCGTTTGCAAGTTCTATGGAACAAAACCAATTATCAGCGGTGGCGTTTCTGTTCGATCCTTCAGTTGGTGTGACAAGACGAAGAACTGCCTGAGTGGGTTTTGAGAAACGTTTTTCTTCTTGGCTTAAATTTGTCCCATCTGAATCATTGCCTAAATAAATATAGGCATTTACGAGGTAGCCATTCCTCGCATCGGTTATGCACATTATTTTTAACCCGTATTTGGTAGGCTTTTTTGGCATGTATATCCTGAATTTACAACGGCCTCGAAAAGCCAACAGCATCTCGTCTATACAAGCACAAGATCCAATTGAGTAAATTTCTTGGGAGCGCTGTATGAATGAGATAAACAACTCTAAAAAATGGGCGCCGAAAGGTCTGTCTCACGTCGTTGCTCTCTAGTTTCTACATCATCAAAACGAACCGCGATCAGCAGTACTTCAAATCGATTTTTGCTCATAATGCAACGGTATATTTCTCGGCCTGAGCGTTCATTGTTAACGACACCCCCAAAACGACACCCCTGGGGTGTCGTTAACAATAAGCATTTGTTGACGACACCACTAACAAATAGTGTTGTTACCCTGCTGTATGTTCGTACCTATACCATAATAATTATTAAAATAAAAAGAACCTGTAAAGATATTTTTATTTAATTTGATCGAAGCTCAATAATCCTTATTATTTCAAACATTATCTGTCTTCTTTTTACGACAGGTACGTTGTTAAGTTCTTGACCAATAAATTCTCCGAAATTACGATTTGCTTCTTTCAGGCTTGCTTCATTAGCCATTTCAGGAGTTTGTGTACTGACATTGTGGTCCTTTCCCCAATTATAATTGTCAGATTGAATGCCAACTTCTTTTTTGTTCTGAACCCTTTGTGAAGTTGAGGGATTAACATCAACAGAACAAACATTTACGTCGTGATATTGCTCATAGAGCATTTGAGTATCTTGAGTATCCCAGGTTTGACTACAGGAAGCGTCAAAATCAGCATTTTTATTTTCAAGCACATGTTTGGATCGTTTCGACATTATTTTGACTATTCAAAAATCAACGATTTCACAATTTTTTCCAAATGGCAAATGTTCGAGAATCGCCTGACACGAGTGACAATTTTCTCGTTTTTCAACGAAATGTATGAACTTTTTGGGATCCAAAACCAAAAAGTTTTTGCTTACTCGTTATTTATTCACTCATCATAGCAAAGTGAGCGAATGTTAATAAACCAAAACGTAAAATATAATAATAATATTTTATCAGTTGGCAACAAAATAAACTGATAGATACCCTGTGAAGGAAAAGTATCTTTAGTTTCTTAATTGCTCCAAGGCTTGGCCTACTGAGAGACTTCCAGACACTAATCCTATCTGGATTTCCATGATCATATTGTCGTTAGTGATCTGCTTTTTTTTTCCTTTGTTTTGTAATGGATCCTGACCCTTGGTATGGCATAATTTTATTCAACAGACGTAACAATGTTTTGTTGCTGGTGTTTATGTTTTTATTCAATTTTGAATGATATCCCTCAAGCACGTTGTTGGTGCGATGCCTTTCTCCGAATACGCTAATCACATCAAACGAATGTTTCTTCAACCAAAAAGTTTCCACGTATTTTGTAAATTGTGACATTTCTATATTGCCTGCACACAACGCCTTTATAAATTGCCACCCTTCCATGATATGTTGTGAAGGCAGCAACGCTAACGCCTTTGTTAACCCTATAATTCTTTTTTCTGCATAAACTTTTGAATGACCTAATTTATCTGCTTTTTTGTTAATGTTTTTGCACCAGTGAAAGTAACAACCTTTCAAGACAATATTGGGGAATAACATTTTTAATGCGTTCATTGATGCCATTTCAAAATCAGAATGTACTTTAATAGGATTCCACTTAGCAAGTTGCGACTTAATCATGCTGAACAGTTTAAAATAACTACTCTGCCGCCTGTGGGTCATTAGTGCGAACACTAATGGTACAACATTAGTGTTATCCAATGTGCTGCCAATATCTCCGTGTAGAGAGAAAATCTGAGTAAATGGAGTTGGGCACGTTTTAAAAGTGCCGTCTATAAAAAATTCTGTCACATTTGCTATTGCTTGCCTGCAATTATTAGTACAAAATACTAGAACTTTTTCATCCTTGTCACAATAATCTGCTAAAATCTAATCACGGAATTTCAATGGAATTTCTATTTCACTGACAGATTTGTATACCGTTTTTTTTAAATCCAAACTCTTGTTCCGTGCACCATACAAAAAAACTAGTTGAATTATTTAATGAGGGTATAGGTATCACTAATTCTAAGCCAGTCTCTTTGATGGAGTTTGTTGCATCGTTGTAAAGTTTCGGTATGGGTTCATCACTTGTTATAACGGTTTCCCTAAGCGCATGCATTATTTTAAGAGCATCATTTTTGTGCACATTTGGCTCACATGTATGTAATTTGCCAAATGCATGTATTTGTTTATCCTGAAACAAGAGCAAACACACAATTCCTCATTTCAGGAGCAAGAAATATGTAGTAGGAAGTGGCCTCTATCTATAGCATACCTACCTTAGTAGTAACTGTTCCATGGCATTTCAACTTTTTGTGAGAGGAACATCTCCAATATACTGATCCATCTGCATAATTTTTATGTTTATGATATTTATACTTGCCTAAAAGTAAGGCCACTCCGCCATTGGTATTTATTAATCTGAATTCGGACATTGTTAACTTTTTCTTCGAAAGTTATTGAAAATATTAGAAATGTCAATATATTGATTAACTTCACAAATGACACATAATTTATCTCATGAACGTCATAAACGTTATCAGCCAGTGCATTAGAGAAAGAGATAAAAAGATACAATTGCATATGTTTATTAACCATTGAGAGTATACTAGCTCGATAATAAATTCTTAAGCGATAAGTTATCCCAACATTACGGTGGTGTCGTCAACAAATGCTTATTGTTAACAACACCCCAGGGGTGTCGTTTTGGGGGTGTCGTTAACAATGAATGGGCCTGAGCCATCAGTACTGAACCATGCAGTGTAGTGTTCGTGGTTTGCTTTAAAATGGCTGTGTAAAACAGCATGCCAGTGAACGCTTTTAGCTCTGTAAGATCCACGTCTTGAACACAACTTTGTTTCTGATACTTTGGCCGCATCCTCAATATCTTCTCATTGGTATATAATACTATTTTATTGAGCATTTCATCAGTAAGTAACAGGCTCCATATATCAAGTGGCGTAGAATCATGGAGCATATTGCGATATGCCGGTTTTACTCCCGGTGGTTGATTGACAATATTATGCTGCTGTGTTCTCGTGCGGCAAACATTTGGCTGCGATGACTAACGAAAACGGTTACTACCAAAATAAAAAAGCTTTCGTCTGCGTCGGACTTCTTCTAGTGGTGTATCGCTGTCGGAAGAGGATAGTGGCTCACGAGAAACGGGAGCTATATATTGCGGCTGAACGGGAAGTGTTTCGTCTTCCGAAGAGTTGTCTTCCCCCATCTACATATTTCGGAGCTGGATTCACAATCCCCTGTCAGCACTTGATTATTAGTAAGCCTCATTCGGTAAGTCTTCCTCAGAACACTTGCAGCCATTGCCTAATCTTTTCATCCATTTTAACACTAAAACTATGTGAAATAAATGCAATACAGATTTACAAAAATACTAACGTAACCCTCGGTATCTCAGACCGGTAAAAAAAATGTTTTACTTATCACAGCAAAACGCGCACTTAAACACTCGACGAGCTCAAGTGACACACTGGCGGGAATTCAGAAAAGGTACATGAACGCACAAGAAGGCCGAGAAGTCTCTGAGACCGTTATCAGGTGGTTAAGGGTTAAAATAACTCCATGACTATCCCAAAAAACAGTCGCCATCACTTTCACAGCCGGAAAAACAGTTTTTGCTTTTTTTGGAGCCGGTTCCGCCTGTGCAGTCCACTGTTTGGACTGTATTTTTGTTTCGGGCGTATAATGGTGTATCCAAGTTTCATCTGCAGTAAATAATCGGCGTCAAAACTTGGATTTATTGCGCCAACAGAGCGTTGGAAATGTTCATTCGAACAAGTTTTTGGTCTAACGTGAGCAAACGCGGCACCCAACGCGCGGACAGCTTTCTCATGCCTAAATGTTGATTTAATATGTGACAAACACGTTCTTTTGACATGTTCATAACCTCCTCTATCTCTTTCACTTTAATTCGGCGGTCGTCTAGCACCATTTGATGAACTTTGGCGATGTTTTCGTCGGTAGTTGCAGTTTTTGGACATCCCGAACGTTCGTCGTCTCCTAAGCTCTTACGGCCACGTTTAAATTCAGCTGCCCAAAATTTCACTCGGGTAAATGATGGCGCAGAGTCCTCATTCACAGAATCCAACTCATCTTTGATTTGCGTAGGCGTAATGCCTTTCAAACACAAATATTTAATGACAGCTCGATACTCAACTTTGTCCATTTTCACAAAAACACCCACATCAACTCACTCAAACGAGTGTTACATAACAACTGCGCGTCCAAAATGGCTGAAACTTTGTCGAGTAATTGACAACAGATGAACAACGAAATTCACTAGCTTTTATTTACGAGTGCTGCCATCTTCACGTTGAGGTCGGAAACTTTTCAGACCACCCTCGTAAACACTCCAAAAAATCAATACTTAAATTGAGATCTTATAGACATTCAAGACATCTTTCTTAAGTTCGCCTCAAACTGCCTTTTTGCATTTAGTGCAGATCATTTTCGCCTATCTTTTTTTTTTGTTTAGTCATACAGTGACTGCAACATCTTTTTTTGACGGCAGGTTCATCTTCGTCAACTTCTCGAACTTGGGGGCTACTCTCGATCACCGTACGAAACAATTACTGTCAAATAAGTAATATTCGACAAAATTAAAAGACAAGTATCCAGTATGAAGCTTCATTCGCATCACGCGTCTTTTCATTTGGTCAAGTATTGCTTACTTGGCAGTAATTGTTTCGGACGGAGATCGAGGGTAGACCCCCTGTACATTAGGTGTTGGGATAATAATATTATCTATATTATCTCGGACATGCCTCGGTAAAGTAGGCGCCTTTAGTCTCTATTCATCCGAGGCGTGATCAGTTGAGAACTCAGTTGCTCTTCGATTCAAGGTCAAGGGCTTTTCATGTTTAACCTTCAAGCGGGCGCGCGGTCATTTAAAACGGCAGCGGTCGCGCGTAACCTTAAAGACCTATGGGAATATTTTGGGATTCAAATGGCTAATTAATTGTGTATTCATTATTTTTTTTATATTTAGATACATTGTCATATATACGAGTATATTTGGGTTAGGAAACTATTTGATGAAAAAAAAAAACTTGAAAGCTAAAATAAAATCAAAGTATAACTTAAATTAAAAAAAACATACCGTAAACTGGTCCTACTTTGCTCCAATATTTGCTCCAAATTTAAGAAATTATTATTTTTTTTGAAACTATTAATTCTTAGATATGGGCACATACATTTATAAAAAGTAGAACATCTATACTAACACATTCTTCAGAGAAAACTGCGTTATAAAGTATTTTGTTATATATATAAAATCATGAATAAGGAGCAATGTTACCCATTGTCATTGGTATCTTTGCTCCTACATCTTGCTTACAAGCGATCTCGGTTCTAAAACCGTTCGGAGTAAATTTTCACTCTCTTTATTCAAACTATGCTCCAAAAATCCCCTTAGTCATTCATTTTAACTTTCATTTTCGATGAGAAAAGGTTAAAAATAAAATTTTTGTCAATTTCTTGGATAAACATATTTATTAAGCTTTATACCAAAATCACTTTGTTTCATTGGTCATTGGTTTATCATATATTATTAGCCACCATTATTATTTTATACTAACGACAAAATATTAAAATTAAAAAAAAACTCACTTCTAAAAGAGAAATAACTTGGATAAAACAAAATTGTGTAAGTAATCAACATTTTCTTAATTTTATAGCTTATCCTTAATTATAGGAACTTTGATTTTCTTCTTTAAACATAAATCAGTCGTTTTATACTTAAAAACTAAACTCACTAGTGGTATCTTAAAACCAATCAAGAAATTCAAAATAAAGAAAACTTCAAATTATACATTCTTTTATAACAATACCTACTTAATCTCTTAAAAACCCCAAATTTGATCTAGTTCTGGAACTAAATAGATGTCACGACGACTACTAACTTTTTTAGGTGGTTCTATACCCCCCAGTATTTCTTTCCAGTCATACTGGATTTCATCCCGCGGTTTAGGCCACTTCCAGGATTTTAATGACTTCTTCATCGAAGACACGTATGGCCCCTTGGCAGATATTTTTGTAATTATGCCCGGAAACATTTCGCCCTCATACGTGAATACCACATAATATGTGGTATTCACGTATGTGGCACATATTGTCCAATTGCCTTCACGAGTGGCTTGAAATTGCGATTTTCAGAGCAATTCACGGAATTGATTTCCATTTCAAGATTTTCTAAATCTCCAAGAGAAGAAACATCTGAAGAGTTGTGAACAGACATATCAACGCTTTCTGCGTAAGTACTTTCGCTACTGGCTCTACGGCGGCGTGGTCCTTTTGACGTTGATGGCTCTGCCGATTCTTTATCACCTAAAATTGTGCTTAATTCTTCGGTCACACTTTTTCCTGGAGTGATGTTTAGTTTTGTGCGACGTCTTTTTGCAGTTCCACCTTTCGTCCATTCAAGCCTCTTAGCTTCCAGGGTCTGCAGAAAAGAGTCTTGTAAAGCAGTCTTGTTGACAGTTCTGGGCATCCTCTCTAATAATGGATTGACGTCAAGCGGATAAATCCCACATTTCCGAAAACCTGAAGTTAGATTTACCTCTCGCGTTAATCCCAAAATATCAACCAATCTGTTTAGTAAAACTGGGAAACTGCTTTTTTGTACTACTGTTTCTCGACTGCCTTGTTGACTTGCTTTCCACTCGGTTAGGATTTTTCTCCATGCTACCTTCATAGGGTGAAAAAATGCAACATTTGCGGCTGAGTTAAATGGGTGCTGTTAGGTGGAAGGCAAACAAATCTGATATTGTTTTCGTCACAGGCTTTCAGGACATCTACAGAAATGTGAGAAGACAAATTATCCCCTATCACAACTTTGGGACCCTCTTGTTTCCTTAGCCTGGGTAGGATATGAGTAAAAAACCAATCATTGAATATATTCATATCAAACCACCCTGATGGACTGTTATTATATCTGGCATTCTTTGGTCCATGCTATGTCCATGTACTCCACAGTTGCTTGGCCTTATATACTGTGTATGGTGGTAGTAATTCCCCCGCAGCATTGCCAGAATACATAATAGAAGTTGAACTTTTCGAGGTATTTCTAATAAGTTCTGGATACTTGGTGCCTCGCTTAATTATGACTTTTTTTTGACCAGGGTCATCTGACAGGTTGGTCTCATCAAAGTTCCATATGTTTTCGGGCGGAATATCTTTAACTACCTACCTCTTCCAAGTTTTGTATGTAGGCAGTGATTGTGTTCATGTCTATTGATGCCCTGTTGCGCTTAATATTACCAGCGAACCTCTGAGATAAACATGCGTGCCTTTTTAAGAAACTTGACACCCACTCAGTTCCTGGACAATTATCTCTAAATTTGGAAACTTTTCGGCCAATTTTTTCTAAATATGATCGGATCACAACGCGGAGATCAAAAACTGTCAAAGGAAAACCGAACTCGCTCAATCTTATAATGCAATCCACAAACAATGCTTCTTCTTCAATCGTGAATATTGTTGGAGCTCCTGGTGGTCGCGACGACATTTTAGATCGCAAGCATCTTAGCTGATTAATTATGGTTCTCCGTGGGATACCATATTCTTCACTCGCTTTTCTTTGAGTGAATTCTTTATTTTCTATACAGGGTGACTGGTTGAACGAAATAAATATTTAAAGTGGCGAATGAGTAGCTGATACCCATCCCGAATATGTAAAAATATCGCCCCAAAACATTATAAAAAAAATATATCGTACCATTTTACAAATACTAATACTCTGTTCGTTTGAGCTACTCTACGAACAGCTGATTGTTAGGAAAATGAACCGCCCGTCGCCGCGCCGCGCCCCGCGCTACGAGCGCGTGTCAAGCCTCTCTCGCTTAAAATGTTTTAAAAATAATTCCATTTTCCCTTAGGACAGGCAAAAATACCAATTAAACTACGATAAATTATTTTTTAAAGTACACAATATTTTAGGCAGTTGTAAAACACAAACTAAGCTAGTAGGTATGAGCATGGTTTGGTATTTTTGGCGTATTTAAAAAATGGAATCATACCTATTTACAATAATTAATTTTGATTAAATTTACAAATTTACAGCAATCTTAACAATGTACGGGTGAAGACCGTCTCTGTGTAAGAGTTTCCACACTGTCCATTGTAACACTCCGAATCGTCTTGCTGCATTTCGAGTACTCCGGCGTGGGTCATGCTCAAAGTATTCAAAAATCGCTTCTTGTATGTCCACTGGATACGGATCCCTTCCTCGCCCTTGAGCATGCGAGGGCACAGTGAACTGCCCAAAAGTCCTCAAACGAAAATTGAGTCCTAAACATTAAAGTGTAGGATGGAACTCGCCGATTAGGGAACATTTCACGGTACAGGTCCCTAGCACCAGTAACTACATCATTTGCCATAACATAACACCGTATCATGTCCCAATACTCCTCATTTGTGTAGTGATAAGGCATCGTTATGTGTCACTGCACTCCACGGAATTACACAGTTGAATAGACCGATGTATCACGGAAAACAAAGATCGGCGCGGCGGCGGCGGCGCGTGCGTTTAATCGCAAAATCACAACGTCCTCACTTACAGAAGGGCGTAAGCGAACTAACCCGGCGGACGGCGGGACGCGCGGGCGGGATTGGGGTAGCCGGCGGGTTGTTCTTCGAAATAAATTATTTTTGTTAAGTTTTCATATATTTTTTAGAACCTTTATGTAAGCTATTTTTATCAAGCTAAATGCAATGTAAGCATACTCTAAAAGATTATTTTATGAAAGGCGCGTATTAATTTTCATTATTCTTCGTAATATTTGTAAATTTCTAATTATTCACGTTGATACTAATGACACCACGCACTGAGAATGACTTTAGCTTGTATAATAATGACGCCGTGTTGCAGACAATGATCTAAAATCTTTCATTTTTGGGTATTTAACAATAAAAAAACATTTAAGTAATCAAAATATTTATTAAGTATATTATATAATATTTATTTATTAAACAAAGGATTCAAAGTAAATGACAATCTTAAATTATTAGCGTGAGGCGATAAATACGTAACTGTGAAGCTAAGTAGGTACTTAGATATTTCTTAAAAACAAACTGTCACACTCAAATAACTTAATCATCTAGCTAATAAAGGACTC